GAAATGTGGACTTACACTATCAGGTTTTCATATATTTATTGTTAAATATTATTAAATCATAAGATGGGAAAACAGGTTTTATATTTTCTCCTACCTGGTCTGCTCTCCACATATTGACTGAAAGACTGGAGCTGAGTTTTTCTGACGGTAGAGTCCTTGCTGAACACAACGGGATTTCTAAACCGCTCTGCTGCTTTTTGTAATCGCTCAGCACGATGTTCCTCTGTTCCGTTCTGCTAGGAAAAAAACCAGACACACAACAGTTTCTTTTGTTTACAAACGGGAAGACACGAATTCGAAAGGTACATTTCGGCGAGGGGACAGGACGCAGCTTTTGCAAAGAGGATTTCACAACTCGGGCTGCAGTTTATATAGGATGAAAGTATCAGCTGTAGAAAAAAAAGGAGAAGAGTGATTACCTTCTCCATTTTTTTTCTTTTGTGGTTTTTTTTCCTTATTTCTTTTTCTTTTTTCTTTTTTCTTTTTGTTTGTTTAATGTGTGGTGGCAACGAGTGGCTTTTTGCTATGTGGGCACCCTCATGCAGGACTCTACTTACTTAACAGCCAGACCTATTAATTGTGAGTGGTATTTGCCAGCGATTCTGATTTTAAATGAAAAATCACTCCTTTGCAACTTTGATTTGCCAAGTGTTGCGCATGCTGCTGCCAAGTAGCAGTGTCTCTACCCCTGAACACGATCTGTATCATTTGAAAAGCGTGTTGCCTTTAGCCTGTCTCCCTGCCCGGTAAAGAAATCTGTCGTTTTCTGTAGTCCCACAGACTTGTATGACAAGAAGAACTAGTTTCTAATTTTATGCCCATTGAGATAAACCACTAATGCTGGATGAAGGCTAAAAGGCAGGATTATAATACTACCCCACTGAACTGCATTTCATCAGCTATAACTTTCCAAAGCCAGATTTGTAAGTAAGCCCTTTACAGCTAAGGAAACTACAATTATCTTTTCCAGGGCTTCCTATGTTAATACTGGTAACAAATTCAAATGGTTCTATCAGCATGAAATATCCCAGAAGACTGAACCACCGCAGTGTATGGAAACTGCAGATACCGAGGTGCTGTGTACCAAACAAATATTTCATTTTATACCTAATCTTTTATTATTTTTATTAAGTGTTTTGAAAGTAAATAGGGAAAGGCTAAGATGCATGACTAATAGCTAAGCCTGCTGAATGCTGAAACTGGTTATCAAAAGCTACCAAGACTTTGCCCTTCCTCTGCATTGAGACAATTGGTAATGAGGGAGTTCTCCAATGGCCTATTCTCTAGCCTGAAGGAGGCCGGGGATACACAATCCCCAAGGGAAGGTAACAGTTTATCCTTTTCCACAAACACAGAATGCCTCATTTAGAAATGTGTAAACTGCATTTTATTAAAAAACAAATCCACCTCAATGCCGAGAGCTCCATGAGAACAGATGGACACCATATATTCCTTATAATGCCGCTTTCCAACTCTTCCTTAGAAAGAGGTGCACAGAGATAAACTGTTAAGTTGCACCTTTCATTGGAGTACCTTAAAAGAATCAACTGCTTCACAGGAGATTTTTGTAAAGACAAATACCATTTTAATCATGTTAGGTGACACCAAATTACCCTAAGAAGCGGCCTGTGTGTCATTTGTCGAATTAAGCTTAAAAAAGTATTGCTTATACCCCCTGGATGACTTTTCAGCTGCACTAATCGGGTGGTTATGATTCTGGTTAAATAAAAGGTGGTTTCCTGTTATTAGCACAATAACCATCTGACAGCCTAAACTAGAGACTTTACCAAAACAAACAAACACAACTAATTTTTTAGGCCTGGCAACATGCTAAAATATCAGTGTGATTAGCCAGTAAATCCCATTTTAAGAAACCTTTTTATGACTGGAGACTTCTGCCACTTTACAAATGTATTCCTCTAAGCCTACTAATTCAGTTAGCCTTTTCAATCCATTGTATTATTCTTGGGCCAGCTTCATTTTGCATTAAATCCACTGCAGAAAGCTAAATTGAACGCAAAAATCAGACTTGATCCAGGCTTCCTTTTGTTCAAAGATAGAGACCGAAAGTCCTCTGCTGCTGCCACACACTTTCATCACCAATTTATAGGAACCGACAGTGTAAGGGAAAAGCAATGAAAGTCATTGTTTTGGGACTTCAAAGCATCTCTGTATCTGGGGAAGGAAATCCTTTCAGTCAGCAGTGCTTTCCCCCCAGACTGCAGGTGGGTGAAAAGTTATACTCAACTGGAAGTGCCCCAGAGCCATAGGGATATTAATGACATACAGGGACTATTTAAAAAAAAAATAGTAAGAACACAAGGAGTCTAATTAAGAAAATGAAATGGAAAATCTATTGGTGCGCATTTTATGCTGAAGTGGTGAACGTTAAGAATAAGCAAAACGACCGCATACACTGCATACTCATGTCTATTTTTCTCAGAAGCACTCGTTGTCAAGCACCCAAGTATGCCTTTAAAGTGTACTACAGCTTAATTTTAATGGAGAAAAAACAGAGGTTCAGGCTTGGGAGGGAAGCAAATCACTAACAGTCCAATCTTGCTCTTGTTAAAGTCAGGGAAAGTCTTGCTGCTGATTGTACCAGCAGCAGGATGGAGCCTGTGCTGTATTTCTGATTTAAATGACAACCTGAGCAGTAAGAACTGAGAAACACTTCTTATACATCTTACTGTTATGCCAATGACAAGTATCAAGACTTAAAAAAAAAAAAAAAGAAAAATGTGTTAATTAATCAACAGGAAAAAACCCAGTGCATTGTGAATTATGCATCTACACTGCCATGAAGATTTTCTGTGTTGCTCACTGTGAAGGATTTGATAAGAAATCATTTTCCTCCTCATGAAGTACAAACCCGAAATCAGAACATGCAGGTACTGAGACAAAAGCATTGATCAAAACTTACCTTAACGTCTTGCTCTGAACTATCAGTTACAGCTTTCTGAGCAGCACTGGAGAATGAATTTGCCACCTGTGGCTGAGCTTCTAGGAGCTTCTTCAGCTTCAAATCCACCAACTTACTGTTTTGTTCTGCTAAATATGCAAATACCACATACAACAGAGTGAGATGCATTTAAATGCAGAGTCGTTACAACAATGTAGCAATTTCAAAGGTAGATTTCATTCACTTTGCTACCATTTCAAACTAAAAAAGTAAAAACTAGGACTTTTTGTGATTCAGATTGGCAAAGATTTGTATAATGTACATAGATAATGCCTACGTTTTCTCAAAAAATATATGTAGCACTCAGTTAAACAAAATGTGCTTGAAATACATGTTTGAAGACAGTAAATGAAAAAACACAGAAAGTAGACAATGTTTACTTTAAGTTACTCCCAAACTGTACATACCTATCCTTTGGCATAAATCCATACTTCAAGAGCCATTTATTTTAGAATTACATATAACAATTTATCACATATTCTAAGTACTGATAACTTCTCAAGTTTGTGAACTACTAAATTATCCTAAGGCTTCTTGGCACAGCTTCTCCACATTAAAATTGTAGTATCAAAAGAGACAGCTTTGTAGTAATATTTTACTACACTTTATAGAGTATGTTGAAGCTTGGAGAGCTGCAAAATGCTTCATAACTGCATCAAAGGCACAGACTCAAAGTCTGTTCAAGCCACAAATTTTTTTTTTTCATAAGTTTTAGCAACTTGGATGAGAGACCAAAGAAATAATAGTAGAGAATTTTACCTCCCAATAATGCTCATTCTGTACGCAATCATTGACTACATGAATTTGTAACACACCTACACAGAGTTACCTACAAATACACATATAGCAAGGAGAAAGGTGTTAACAACAAACTGCAGCACAGGTCTGTGGAGCTAACCCTGGGTAGGAAGGCAGAATAATGCTGGCACAGAAGCCCCCAGACGCACTCTACGTGCAGCACCACGCAAGCAATCACTCCTGGAGTGAATGCAGCATCACCTGCACATATTATGCACGTACATCCGGGCCTTAGGTCAAACAGAAAAAATAGCAGTTGCTATGTTATTCTATAGACACAGCCTGAGATTTTCACCGTGGGCTGGTAACTTCTAGCTGGTGTGGGAAGTGGAGCCGTGACTGTTTTGTCGCACAGCTACTTCCACATTTTGGAGTGCTCCGATTCATGTTAGCCAAAATATTTTTGGCATGCTGGCAATCAAATGATGCCTGCCTCCAGCAGCAACAGGCTGGGTTGGGTTATGACGAAGGATAGTTTCCCTTTCCTCTGGCACACCCAATCAGGGTGTCCTTAATTGAGGCTCACATGTAAGTACATGCACATTCTCATGGGTTTATACATAAACATCAAGTAATAACTATGATATAAGAGGTTCACATTTTATCAGATACATTCACAGCAGCATATGGTAGCAGTACTGACAAATACAGACAGATGCAATATTTAAAACCAACAAACTGGCAATAAAACTAAAAGAAAGGTTTTCTCTTCTTGAGAGAGATGGGAGGGACAAAGATTCAGCAGGGGTCCAATTAATTAAGATGGCCATGATGATCTCAAATGTGAAATGTCCCTTGCAGTTCTGCGTTTAGGTGCTCCCAGGAGATTCAGCCTTCATTAGAACTTGGTATGAATTGGCAGAATTCCACCAAAATCCGTGTACACTGATTTCTATCACAGCATTAGACTGCTTACTTTATTATTGCCCATCATCTTCCTTACTTGTTTGTACCTCTAGCTACTGTGTAGACTGAACTGCAAAATGATGTCCCAGGTTTTTTTCCAGAATGTCTTCCCATAGTGGAAATGAAGCATTGGATAGTGAGTTTGTATCTCTGAAAAGGTACCTCTCAGGAAAAAAGCCTCAGAGAAATAAATGTTGGCAAGCCACTGGGGCTACGTGACACGTGACAGGAATATTCATTTACTGATTTTCTGTTTCTCCTAAAATGAACCAATATTTATTGGAAAACCATTTGACATGGTTCTGCTCTAAATCAGTTTAATTCAAATGCTGGAAACACTAAATATATTTTCTCATGTGTTTTGAAATCCTCAAGTCAAAAAAAAAAGACATGACTCAAATCTTTTGCACTCAAAAAAGACTAGAAAGTGCTACATACACATCATTGTCAGTTTAATTTACGAAGAGCAAACACCAAATGAAGAGTTTTGATTTAATATATTATGGGCTACACACTTGGGTCCACTTGGCATATGGTTACCATAGGATGCTGAAAGAAGTTCTCTCTTGTACTGCCTTTTTCCCCAGTGCTGTCCTGTGCTTGCTACACTTCTCTCGGCTCAAGCTAACTTGTAGTGAGCAGAAATGTCCCAGCAGAGAAGCACACCACACTAAGGAGGTCATCAGCATTCCCCAGGGCTGCTGGTAACTGGCAGGCTTGTACAGAGAACAAACTCCTTCAGCAACTCCCTGTGAGCAGAGTTGCTCCTTACCATTGGGCAGTTACCTTCGTTTTTTAAAATAAGCCCCCCAGTTGTAAGATCCTGACATATTCAGCATCTGTAGAGGAACTTGAACTCCAGTTTCACTTGATTACAATTTTTGAAAGGGGAAATACGGCTACTATGATTCATTACTACTTGACCAGCATGCGATATGATGATACAAGCATTTCTACAAGAATAGGAATGCTTTTAAAATGTGTTATTAAAAATCTATTATTTGAAGTTTGTAAAGTAAATAGGACTAATTCTGTTCAAGTGTCCTCACTTGAGCAACAAAGTATGAATGCAAGAACTGGTCCTCAGGAAGGAAATGGAGTGATACCAAGTCTACCTGGAAACACGGAGAAACGTTTTCTTCTCTTCACTGAGCAGATGGGCCAGGATGTACAGAGAGCGGCAGCTGTACTCACCAACAGGACCACTCATTCCTCTGCCCACCTTGCTTTGCTGGGACAATCCAGGCAGGGTGATTTCAGGTGGCTCAGCTTTACAAATCTGGCCTGAGGCCCCTTGCCCATCAAACAGCAAAAGACATTTAAATCTGCCATTGTTGGAAATAATTATTTTGTTGCTGATTTTAAATTTCAACTAAACAGGAATGCAAAATATTGAAAAAAAATAAGCATTAGGGTTTAAAAGACCTCAAAAGGCACAAAGGAATAAAGCTATGACAGAGAGAAGCAGCACATCAGTACTTATGTGATGAAGGAGTGTTAGTCATGCAAAATACACAAAATAGCCATTATTTAAATTACCCATTGAATCAAGGTCATTTTCTAGGTTAGTAAGCTCATCTCCAACTCCAGTAACAGAGCATTCAGGAACCTCCTCGTTAGTATCTATCTCAATATTATCATCATCCTCATCCTCATCTGTAGGAACACACAGCATTAAGGTTAGTATTTTCTTATGTACATGCACCACATCACTTAAAAAAATGAATGCTTTAGAGAACAAGCGGAGTTATGATAAAAATGCAAATCATTAAATAAGTCTGGAAGGAGACTCCACTCTGTCCACTCATGGATTTATCTTTAAACTGATGCAATTCAATATACACACAGGGGGCTCTGCTGGAAACTCCTGCAACAATAAAGGAAGAGTCTGGCCTTCGCAGTGGCTGTTCTCTGCGCTGAATCTCTGGCTAACTCTGAAAAGCACATGTGCTTTTCCTTATAACTTGAGTCAAGATAATTTCCCCTAGGTTCCCAGTTCGCTATAACACACAATGGGTGCTGAAGCTGGCATATGGCAGGTTTGGATGGGTCTGGCCAGCAGAAGGACCTGAGAGCTGCAGTCTCTAGAGAGAAGCTCCTGGTACTGAGTTCTCAGCTCGGTCAGACTTGCTACTCCTTACTTTGCAGAGAATGTCACAGACTGGTGATCACTGTACCTTGCTTAGGTGTTAATGTCTCCTACCACTTCTGATACAAGGAGAAAAAACACCACCTGTATGGAATACCATGCTTAGCACTGACCTCAGGTGTAGCAAGAGCACACTCACATATTTCTGCCTTACTGCATCACTTTGAATCAGTGTTGTTTGCAAGCTACATACATTTTAAATAAAAGAATAATTGTAATTATACTTTATATTTTTATGGGATCTTTCCACCAAGTTTCTCAGAGCAGCTTATGAATATCACTTGTAAATGAGCCCCATAAGGTTTTATGAAGTAGGCGATTATTATAATTACAGTTATGATGATGATGTAGGCAAATTATGGCACAGAAAGAGTAAGTAACCTGAGGAAGATCAAATAGCAAGTGCTGAATTGTGAAGCAGAACCCAGAAAAAGTCCTGACTCACATTTTCAATACAAATATATAATGAAATTAAAGTCCATAAAGACTAGATTACTGCTTTCAAAGCATGTAGTTGCATTGTATTTACTCACTTTTAAGTCTCATATCAAATGCTATCTACACTTGTTCAGACCTATACAAATATTTTTTTCTTATGTATGTATGCATGCGTGTAAAAATAACTAAAAAGAGAAGGTTGGAGTGTGTCTGGAGAAAGAAGACACATAAAGTAACTAAAGGAACTTTAAAACACTGCATAATAGGAAAAAATATGAATTAAAATTACAGGACATTGGTACATTCAAACTCCATATAAACAAAAAAGATCCTAAATATAGCACCAAGATACCATAAACGTGAGTACTAGAAGTTTGGGAAAGTTTGGTGCTGCTCCCTCAGCGTCTGTCTTTGGAATACACTAAATCTCATCCCCAGACCCAAAGTTTGCACTTCAGATCCACACTGTACACAAAAAGGTCATCAGTTGTTTCTTTTCTTTACCTTTTTCACAGAATCACAGAATCACACAGAATCGCTTGGTTGGAAAAGACCTCTGAGATCATCACGTCCAACCGCTCCTGTCTACCTCCTAAACCATATCTCTAAGTACCTCGTCTACCCGCTCTTTAAATACATCCAGGGATGGTGACTCCCCCACCTCTCTGGGCAGCCTGTTCCAGCCTCTGACAACCCTCTCAGTAAAGAACTCCCTCCTTATCTCTAACCTGAACCTTCCTTGGCACAGCTTGGTGCCATTTCCCCTTGTTCTATCCTCCATCACCTGGGAGAAAAGACCAGCACCCACCTCTCTACAACCTCCTTTTAGGTAGTTGTAGGTGGTGATGAGGTCTCCCCTCAGCCTTCTCTTCTCCAGGCTAAACAACCCTAGTTCCCTCAGCGGCTCCTCATAAGGCTTGTTCTCCAGACCCCTCACCATCCTTGTGGCTCTTCTCTGAACACGCTCTAGAATCTCAACATCTTTCTTATAGTGAGGGGCCCAGAACTGAACACAGTACTCGAGGTGCGGCCTCACCAGTGCCGAGTACAGCACTGCACAGTCCCTATAATTCCTATTTCAGGAGCCTGTTGACTATTTTATATGTCTGCTACTCATTTCCAACCAGCTGCTCCCTCAACTCCTCTGTAATTAATCAACAACTTTTGCAGAGCTCTGCCGATTCAGAGTAAGACTCTTGCTGCGAGACAGGAACAAAGAAGTTTCCATTTCAGTCTCTTATTCAACATCTGCTGTGTGTATGATGGAGCAGCAGTCTGTGAAGCAAGATCCCTTCGTTTCAGCTGACCACCATGACTTCCCATGGTTTCTCTCCACCAATTCTTAATGGTCCCTGGAAGAGTCAGCTTTCTTCCAAATTGGCCCACTTTGAGCCGGATGGATGAAAAAGAACATTTCTCCTCTGCCAAACCAGAATCTATGACCAGGCCTGAGACTTGACAGATGGTGCTTCAGGTGTACAACTGGGTGGGCAGAAACAGTCAGGACTCCATGCAACATCCTTTGTGTTCCCATTTAAATTTACACAGATGGTTCTGTGATCTGGACTCTAATTATTTCAGGTAGTGGGTAGGTAGGTGAACAAAGTAGGTTAGGCACAGTGCGATCATCATGAAGTGGAGAAAGGGATAGGTAAAAAACAGACTGAAGAGAAAACAGAGAATGGTAAAGCAGCAACTGCAACAATTCTGAAGTTTTGAATTTTCTTCAAAGCATCTCTACTCTTTCTAATGAAGAGCTAGACCTGTCACATGACTTCAAATCCTTCACAATGGTGTCAGAGAAATTCAGTGGCATTCAGACCACGGTAATCTCAAATGTATCCTGGTGCTCATGGTGGCACACTGAAAGCATGACCAGGCTAACAGCAGCAAAGGGCCATGGAGCCCTGGAAGAGGGGGAAGAGAAAGAAAAGAGGGATCCTCACAGCAGCAGAGGGAAATCAAACCCACCTCAAGCGTAGAGGCAGGCAATGACTTTCCAAAGCAACCAAAGAAGTCAGCTCACAAGGTCAGCTCATAACTACCACTCATCCAGTGGGAAGCTGGATGCGTCAAAACAATCTATACAAGATGACAGGGTTTAAGACTGCTGGATACTAAGGGAATGCTTATATTAGATTATTTTATTTTCTTTAATTTAATATAGCAAGATGAGATCAGAGGCACTGTCTTTGACACCACCATTTTAGGTAACAAAAGTGATGGGAATATTGAAGACACCAGTTCTTAGTGTCAGATAATGACCTGACCTAGTATTTCATCTAAAGTTGGCAGGTTTCGACTGAATATGATTATTAGGACATTTACACTTTAAAATAAAGCAAATCAAAAGCATTAATTTGAAGTAATTTCAGAAATTTTCAAATATCTTTCAAAATCCAGAAATTCCTTGTTTTAAACTACTCTAGGAGTTCTTTTTTCCAGTCCAATGTTCTTTCAGTGTATTAAAAAAGGAAATGTGTTTAGGGAGCATGGTACAAGATTTTGCAATTATAAATTATAAAAGGAAAAACATGACTGAGAGATAACAGGTATCTTTTATGAAAAGAACAAACTACTAGTGTGAAAAACTTAAAGCACTTGGTCTAGAACCAGGGCACATATTTAGAAGAGTACTAAAGAACTGCTTCCTTGAAAAGTATGTAAATGTGGATCCTAGAAAGAGAGCAGAGCTTTACTATGTCATGAAGAAATGAACAAAACTAAAGATAAAGAATTAAGTCAACAACTAAAAAGCACTGACTGTTACCTACACAGCCTGTACTGCAGTCTGGACTGAAGAGAGTGAAATAAGAATCTTTTGGAACCAAATGGAAATGCCAGAATATTGGTGGAAAAAAGATCCAGAGGTATTGTATAGCTCACATGTTGTACTGTTTGGCTTAAGTTCAGGCTTAATTTGCAGTTAAACTGATACTCTCTTGACTTGGTTTAAGCTTGTCCACATGTGAAAAAGTTGCAGCAGGCTGCATCAATTTCTAAACAAAATTAAAAAGGAACAATTTTTCCAGAGAAGGAAAAGCACTGATGGGGGTTGGATCACATTAGTAGGAGAAGCACATGTAAGATGCCGCTGGAGTTGCACGAAGAGAACTTGCTCCTTAGGTAAGATGCCTTCAGCCTCCAGCATTGCCTTGGGAAAATCCTTCAGTCTTGTGAACATTCAGATATTTAGCCTATTTACTTTCAGGTAAAGAGTTCACTTTAAGGCTACAGGATGTTACAGGAGCATCTGAACACTAATAAAGGAAGCAAAGGTGGGGAATGGAAGAAATGCAGAGTCGAAATACTGGTTCCGCATACACGAAATCAGATGTCAGGACAAGAAAGCACAGCAGTAACTGCCAACAGATATAAATACTGCCTGTTAAAAATATAAAATCAAGGACTTAAGACTGTTTTATGAGTTGGAGACTAAGCACGATGAGTAACTGAGCTACCATTGCACATTCCCTCCAAATCATTGCCTCAGAAGTAAAACCTGTATTGTACCCTGAAAACTTTAAGCATACAAGTGCAACGCAATGCCAGTTTGCTCTCTTGGCAAGCTTTTTAACTGCAGTACACCTTTCCAGCTTTTGTTATTAATTCAAAAATTTCTGAAAACTTTTTTTGTCTTGCAATACAATCGGATGCCACTTCTCCTGTGTTTTTCCTTCCCTGCTCCTCTAACACCTCTTTTCTGAGCTGTTCTTCTGTTCATTCTCTTCTTCCCTTCCAGTTTTGCCAATTTTTGGCACTTTTTTCACCAAAGCATCTTCACACCATGCTTGTCTTGCCCCCTGTCCTCTCTATTGTCCCCCTTCAATGCTGTCTTACTCAACACCTCCAGATCCGAGCCACATCCTCACAAAGATGTCATCCCAAATAACGGATGGAGACGTGCCAGAGAGTGAAGAAAACACACTACCCAAATTCCAGAAGAGTAGACGGGTGTCCCACTGCACGGGGACAATACCTAGATAAGAATTCAATTCCTTTGTCCCGTCGCTGCTGGGAAAAGGGAAGATATTTGGATTCCTATCTCAATACTGTCTCTGGACCCATCTCAAGGTATCCGCTTATCAGCCTGAAGCTAGTAGGACATCTAATAAATTCGAACCTGCCATCCCAAACCCTCTGGCAGTTGGCAGGAAGATGTATTTTCTGTCTCATATGCCAAATAACCTATGAAAAAGACTGGGTTTTGTAGCAGAGGATGCTGCTTATCCAGGAAAGTTTCAACTTGCCACAGGCATTTGAGTTTTTCAGACCATGATTAAATAAAGTCCTTTAACAGAGAATGTAGCACCAGTGTCAAAGCATGAAACTCTTAGTAAGCATACAGAAACACTGAAAGAGATCGCATTTTCACTTATAATAGTGAGCAAGAAGTTAGTCTTTAAAAACTCCAAAATCTCAAAGCTGAAATCTTTTTTCTGAAATAACTGAATTGAGAGAGAGGAAAATGATGTGGTACATTCCCTTTATGTAAATTAAAATGTAGCAATCAATGCAGAAGAAGAGATTAATGAAGCATAATGGACAAGAGAGCTTGGAAGACACAAGATATTACTAGAAGCTTGTCTTGGGTATTGTATAGGGAATACAGGACTATACACAGAAAAAACCTACTACATGTGAATGCAGTTAGAAGCAATATTCAGAATCCAGTTGTAATAAGGAGACTGTCTATTAAATCCTATTTTTGGTGGAAATCAGAAAATGAAAAAGGCTTAACCCAGAAATAATGATAAATTTATTTGGTTTATAAAGTGTTGGTGCCATTTCACTCCCTTTTAAAAGAATTAATTTCTTGAGTGGAGACCTAGTGTGGCACCTGGTGTTACCAGTGGTGTGGTAGAAGTCTGTGGAAGATGTGCCATAAGGAAAGCTTTTTGAGAATGAATAAGTAGAAGGAAGTGCTATAAAATGCATTTGTCATGGAAAGAGCAAAGAGGAATAACAGGAAACAGGGAATGAAAACTGGAAGTCCAAGAGAAGTTCAAATAGCTTGGCTGGACTACCGCATAAAAAAGTAAAAATCAAGGTAGGAAATATGAACCAAGGAGACGACTCAAAGCACATGCAAAAGTAGAAAGCGATGACATTGTTATACTACATAAAATCCAGTGGGTAGAGTGGTGATAACTTCATAAATAAGTTGCTGTCAGTACTGATACTGTCTCATTCTTTCATAACACTGAAACCCTCTGAGTGTATTTGCTATCTTTATACAGAAATACATTTTTTAATATATATATGGCACAGTGCACAGTTACTCTGAGACTGTTTATAGACTGAACAAAGGGAAGGAAGAACAAAAGGCAAAATTCAGAGGGAAGTATGAACAGAGAAGGTCACATCTCAGAAAGCAGCATACTGCAATATTTAGCAACACTACAGGTGAGTCACTGCGACAAAACAGGGTAACTACTACCCAGCTGTGTGCTCAGGATATACCCAGAAAGTGCACCTTACTTGGAGGGAAGAGAAGGCAGGAACAGCTATGTACAGGCATGGAAAAAATAGCAAGGAGGAAGTAATTAAATAACATAGGATGGGGAGTCATAAACTGTGAAGAGGGATGAAGAACACCATAGTCTACCTAATATACAAGTACTGTGCCATTTTACCCAGCCTGTCTTACTCCCTCCCCATCAAGGATGTAATTTCCCTACTTACCATGAAAGAGAATTATGTTGGCAAGCATGGTTTACTAGGCAGAGAGGAAAACTGAAGACCAGACCCAAAGGGAGACGTACAACTAACTGTTTTTCTCTTTGGTGTTAAATGAAACTGAGGTGTAGGGTTTAGGATCCAATAAGACTATATTTAAATATATATGTATATAAAATACATGTAGTAGAGAAGCAAAAAATATTGTTGTTGAATCTACGTACATTGTGAATGTAAAGCTGGATTTTCCTGACACTTTAGCTTATGAAATTATGTGTCAGTATGAGAAACACAATTTCCCCTTAAAATATGTAGAAGATACTAAAAGAGCAAGAAGCCTTTACTGAAACATGTGCTCTGCACCCATTTGAGTTTGAGTGACACTACATTACTCTAGCTTGTGGCACTGGCAGGTATATGAATTTTAATGACATTTCAAAGTCAAACATCATAGCAGTATTACACCTCAAAACCTGTAAAGGCAAGTGGTATGTCAGAAGACTGTCATTTAAAATCAAAAGGTAGTTGCCTCCACCTCCCATGGGCCACCTTTAAAATTCCCTTTCCAAGCAGCCTTTTGTACACATTCAATACAAAGTAAAGTTTCTTAAGTACTTCTAATGATATGTTGTACCAAATTATGACCATGCTTGTATATAAAAATACATATTGAAGAGATTTTAACCAACATTCATAAAATTCTAAGTAATTGTGGGTAACAACAAATCTGTAAGTAATGGGCCAATACGAGCTACTTGTTCACATAACATTTTTTTCTTTCAATCACAGGTAAGCTTTTCCTTTAACTGCTGGAAATTAAGTGACATAACTCTGATTCAGGAAACGTATCTACAGCCAGGTCTTTTGATATGTGCACCTGATGAACAACAATTACCCACAAGAACATTTTGAAGTGTGAATAAAAGTGATACCCAAAAAGGTCTTCTCTGGTTTCTAGGTTGCCATAGGAATAAGATACAAGGTTCCTCAGCTCACCTCCAGATGCCTTTGACCTTTCTTTCAACTTTTCTGCAGCCATTTCACTGTAGCTAGGAAGTTCTGACATCTTCACTCCAGATCGAGCTTCTGCTATTAGCTGACGAGCTCTCTCTCTCAGCTGCCGACGCCGCTCTTCATCTTGCTGCTAAGATATATTGAACAGTTGCCAACTCAGTAATTGACAGAAATGCAATTTCATTCTCAATCTGATCATCATGATAGTAACTGGTTTACAGCATGGTGCTTGGCCCACATTATAAATAGGATGCTCGATATCAGTTGGGAGTCACACCACAGTTTTTAAAGACATCTATGAATCAGATTTTTTTTAAAGCATTCCCCAAATTACTAATGCATAAGAAACCATATTATTTGCAATTAAAAGCATTTGTAAATTATGTTCTAGAAAGATACCTTGATGAAAATTCTCGGGAACTTTTATTTCAAAGTAATAACTACAAAAAGTTTTACCATGGCTATAAAATGGTTTTACCAAATTGAATTACTTGTTTGAGTAATATCCTCTCACAGAACTGAAATGAGAAGCCATATGTTGCTCTCAGTTACTCCAATCACCAAGCTGACTTCAAAGTGTAAAGTAACATCGAATTTGAGGCACAAAATACTTATTAAATAAATTAATTAATGACAGTTAACAAAAGAACAATAGATACCAGAGAAGAAAAGACTTTGCATTGCTTTAAAACACCCTACTAGCGGGGCTTTGGTCAGGAGCTAAAAGGATCATATGGGAACCATCCCAGAAAACGTTTGTCACTAACACCCACAACTATCTTAGAAGCATAATAATATTTCAGTTATAGAAATGAGCAAAGTTCCAGAGCATGAAATTTTGGAAAATACTACTAAACTATCATACTAAATAATACAGTATTAAAAGCTGTGCTTAAACATTTCTACAGGAATACATTGAACCATAAGGAAAGCATTTCAGTTTTCACCTCAAAAGTACGAGTTTTTCAAAGTTAGGACTGTTTACCCCCTCCCCTCAATATTAGAAACACTCGTAAGTGCAACAAAGTCAGTGTTTGGCTTTAAGTCAAATCTGCAGATAAGTTCATTGACATAATGGCCAATATAAAATCCAGGTATAGGCAGCTGACCTGAACGAAGTGGAATATAACAAAGTGCCTACTTTTGGAGAGCTGTCCTGGCAGCCTTCCCACCAACCCAGAAGCTGAGCATCCCACACCTGCAGATGCTGCTGGGAGCTGCTGCTAAGTGCTATTTAGTTTAAGCAATCATTAATAAAACAAGCGCAGAATACTAATTAGGTACATTTCACCCATTTCCATGTAAATTGTTTGTTTGTAGCTATTTACTCAGCATTGTTCTCGTCACAATAGAAAAAATGCAAATGACTGAATCAGAATGCAGCCCTAATGGGACTTTCTGTTTATAACCATTAGCCCAGAGGTGTGCTGTAATTCAATCCTCAAGCAGCAAGATTTAGCCTCATTAACAGCTTGCATGGGCAGGTTACAACTCATAAAACCCTACAGTAAACAAAGTATATGGACACAGCACAATATCTGGTCTCTGAGTGACAGAACCCTAATTCCCTATCAGATTGCCTTGATTTACTTTTCTACTAATGTCCTTCCCCTGGAAAGCCAATTCTGTCTGGGCCCTGCAAGGCAGCAGGATGGCACATTGGCTTTGTTTGCTTTCTCACCCTTTAACTTCCCAGAAGGCACAGTGCAACAGTTCTATCAAAAACTTATTTGGTAAAGTACACATTAGAAAGACAACTGGAAAGCCTTCCCCCTGCTCCTATGCACTACGATAGATCAATTTAATTTAATTTCTAGCCAGCCAACTGATATTATTTTACTTTGACCTTTGGTATTCAGTAACATAAATTACATTGAATTTTACATGAAATAAAACTTCTCAAATCTCTACCATTTTTAATTCCTGAGATATAGGAACTTGTGGGTTTTACTGAAATAACTTTTAAGAAGGAATGTGCAAAATTCATATTAAGACTTTCATGTGATTTAACCTCAAACAATTTAATCTACTATAGCCCACTGGCGTTACGTGCTTGTGACAAATGTGCCCTAAACTAAGCAGGCTGATTCTCCCCTCTCCTTTTCTCCTCCCGAAAACGAACTTGTATCCTGAATTATTAGCATAGTCATTAACATCCTGGGGATCTCCAAGCAAACACAGATTACTGTGGCTTGTGTTTGTGCTGATTAAGCCAATCATCACCAGCGGATAAGAGAAAAAACAGCCTAGTTCTTGCTTAAATTCAATTCAGTATTTGAACCCTCAGTTACTGAGTTTGGCAGAGGAAACACTGGTGGAAGGAACAATGAAATGGAGAGCTGAAAAAGTACATAGATTATGTTTTGAGGTACAAAACAATTATTTAACATCAAATCAATACCCTAGATTTGAGAAAGCACTTGGGAGAGGAATGGAGGTATGAACAGAGATACTAAAAAAAAAAAAAAAAAAAGAAAAAAAGAAAAGAGAGACACGAAGAGAAGCTCTGCACCAAGAAAGGACCATGCAAACACACATACAGCAATTTTTTCCCTCTGCAGTTGAAGAGAAAACTCAGTAAAATGTTTCCCCCTCTGACATGAACCTGACACGCCAAAGAGACATTAAAGTTTGCTCTGTTATTTTCCCCCGATTACTTTGTAATGGTCTAAAGATCTGCCACACGGATGCACAGGGAGGAAAACTTCACCATTTAAGGACAAACTCTTCAAGAATAAGTAATGTAATTCCTTGTTTCCCTCCTATAAAAATGTATTGGTATGCAATTTTTATATTTCACAGTTCACCGACATCTCGGCAAGCTTTCTTCCACTGCTTCAATGGTGCTACTTTTAATTTTATCCTCCTTAGTCCTAGTAATTAAAGTGATCAGCAGTGGCATCCCAACGGCTTTGACACAGCTACAACCCCCTAGCAGACTCCAGCTTTCAAGGGGATGGGGAAGAAAAAAGGACGGGAGTTTCATTTCACTGGAACAAGAAAATCAAGCTCCTCCAATCCTCAACTTTATCCAATTGTTCTTTCAGCAGCCTTTGGATCTTAAGAAACAAATAAAAATGGCTGCCATTAGGGGGTCCTTTTTGTACTCGCCGCAGACAGCAATGACTGACATTACTTTGGCCAAAAATGATGCCGTGGATTTGGGAAGGTGAATTCAAATGTGAAACACTGGCGATGCAGTTTCCAAGACCATTACCCAGCCAGCGATGTTGCGCGGTGGCAGCAGAAGCTGAGAGCTGACCAACTCAGTAAAATACTGGGACTGGTGGAGCTTTGTAGCATAAAAAAAACCCAAACCACCCCATAAAACCCATCTCCTTAAATTACTAAAAATTGTGCAATCTTCTCGCATTTTCAAAAAAAACCCAAACCAACCTCCGCCAGGCATTTTTAGTTGTCCTTTGGCAGAATTTTGGGAGGATCCAAACTGAGTTTACACCAGAAGTCTGAAAAAGTATTATCCTCTCCCTACTGAAAAAAAAAATCCCTTGAGCTGCATTTATTTGATGTTTAAAAAGAAAATTCTGTACCGT